TTCAAATAAGCTACCTGGATGAAGAGGCTTGTGTTCTTTAACACGTGTAAAAGTTAGAATAGTTCATGAGATTGGTTGTCTATCTTATAGGGAATTGCAAATCATCTCCATTTCACCAAATCATAAAGTAATTCTTCATCTAGACTAGCACTGGACAAATAATACACTATGTTTAATTATGTGGTTAAATTCAGAAAGCCGTGATTTTTAAGGAACAGTGTCTTTATGATTTTATAAAGTATGGGGCAGTCATTATTTGCTCTGAAATTTTGATTATGCACAACTCAGTTTCTTTCAGTCTTATCATCATAAATAATTCTAGTTGATGGAACTAGGAATACTTTTTTAAGATTGAAAGAACATATATCATATAAGAGTTTGAATTATTATAATATATTCTGTGATTATAATTTATTATATCTAGTATATTATAGTTTGTTTTGATACTTTTGTAATTTTCCATTGAAATATCTCACAAGACTTTCTTTTTCTAATATTTTATTTATTATTTTTTTATTTTATGTGTATGAGTGTATTGCCTATGTGTGAGTAAGTGCACCCATGTCATGCAATGCCCTCAGAGGACAGAAAAGGCTGTTGGATCCCTTGGAACTGGAATTACGGACAGTTGTTAGCTGCCATGTGGGTGCTGGGATTTGAACCTGGGTCTTCTTCAAGAACAACCAGTGTTCTTAACTACTGAGCCATCTCTTCAGTCCCAAGACTTTCTTAAGTAGAGCTTTCATTCATCCTTAGAAAATTAGCAACAGTAGTTTCAAATGTTTGACAAGAAGACAGTTTCTAAACCTCATTTTTCTCTATCAAGTACATTGAGAAAATTTACAGAATTGTCTTCTTAAAAAAGCAAACTTCTCCATTCTTAGGAAAAACTGTTAAACCATGTAATTTGCAAATGAAAGCAATGAATTTATCACTTAAGTGATCAAACATGAATGAAGGAAATTTTCACAAGGCCCATTCCTAGCTGAAGTGCTTCAGAGAGTCAGTGACTACTGACAGAGAGGGGAATCAGTGTTCTTCAGGGACGAGCCCCCTGATAGGTTACCCAAGCCTAAGTTGTTGACTTTAAACCCATACACATACCAGCAGCACTAATTGGACTCCATGGATCATAAATTTGAGGCAGGAGTGGAGGCATGGGAGGCGTTCAAGAAGGAATGGGAGGGGTGGAAATTTTGTAAATATAGTGTTTACGTAAAATCTTTTAAAATTAAAATTAATTTATGGTTTAAATAAGTCTGAATTAAACTTTTTGCTTTGAGCTTGCCCACTGTTTTTCATTAATATACGTCTTGTACGTGAACTACTTCTGTTGGTGTCATGTTATAGTAGATGAATGATAGTCCCTTAAGCCTAACCCTGAAGTACATTTATAACACCTACAAAGGCTGGTCTACACTTGTCTAAAACTACTGTTCTAGGATATGAGGTTTTAAAATTGCTTTATATGTATAACATTAGGCATAATTTCTGATATACAAACATAAATTTACCAAACACCTAATTAATTCAAAACAGTAGTAAATAACAAGATTAATTTAACAGTTTAGGTATCTTTGACCATAGAGACCACAATATATTTTAATTAAATCGCCCTGTGTATCTGTTGGCAATTTAGAGTTCTCATTTTAGAATATAAAGGGAAAAGATAGAATGCCTACTGTAAACTTTTTTTTTTTTTTTTTTTTTTGGTCTTTTGAGACAGGGTCTCCCTGTAGCCCCAGCTGTCCTGGAACTCACTATGTAGACCAGGCTGGCCTTAAACTCACAGAGATCTGCCTGCCGCTGCCTCCCGAGTGCTGGGATTAAAGGCGTGTTCCACCAAAGAAACAAACAAGAGGAAAGAAAGAAAGAAAGAGAGAGAGAGAGAGAGAGAGAGAGAGAGAGACAAAAAAAAAGAAAGAAAGAAAGAAAGAAAGAAAGAAAGAAAGAAAGAAAGAAAGAAAAGTGTGTTTCTTTATAGTAGGTACAGTCTTGTGTAGAAAAATCCTTCAAACCAATACAAAACGCATAGGAATTGTAAGTGAAGGAGATTAGCTAAATCATAGAAGACAAGGCAGTATTTAAGATTCAGTTATATTTCAGCACTCTAAAATTTCAAACATATTTCAGTCACTTCAGAAAACATGAACTGGTTAGAGATAAGTTTAAAAAAGAAAAACTATTTAAGGCCTGTAAGAAATGATCTAAATAAACACAAAGATACACCATGTTCCTAGATTTTCAGAAGGGTTAACACTGTTTAAGATACCCTTTCTTCACACAGTGATCTATAGATTCAAAGCAATTCCAGGGCTGGACGTGGTGACACATACCTTTAATCCCAGCACTCAGGAGGCAAAAGCAGGCAGATCTCTGTGAGATCAAGACCAGTCTGGACTACATAGCAAATTGCAGGCTGTCTGGGGCTACAGGGAGACTCTGTCTCAGAAAACAAAATAAAACAAAAAAGCAAGTCCAAATCAAACCCTAGTGGGTTTTAGAAACTGATAAGACTCATTAAAAATATATGGAAATGCAGAGGGAATAAAGACATTCAGAGTTGAAGAACTCAGATCATCTAGTTCAAATTTTGCTATGTAACTATCATGGAAGTGTCATACTAGTATAAGTACATATCAGTGGAATAGAAATCATCTCAGAAACATAGAATCTACTGGTTTTTAACAAGGTATTAAAGTAATTCAGTGGTTGTAAAGAATAGTCTTTTTAACAAATGGTGTCGAATTGCTGGCTGTTTGGGGGAAAAAGGGAACCACCCTTATGACACATCATGTCTGAAAATTAAATTTAACTTTAAGAAGAAATAGGAGAAAAGTGTTAATAATGCGGTAGGGAAAAATTTCTAAGGTAGAGAGCAAGAGGCATGAATTAAAATTTCTTGAAAGTCATATTTTTGTTTTTTTGTGCAGTTCCCAGAGCAGTTTATTCATTAAAATCTATTCAGTATATCATCAGCAGTTCTTATGTGTGTATGATTTTTCTGGCAAATTGATACTGAGATCTGCCAACATTGTCATAATAAGTCTGAATTCATTTTCTCCACATGGTATTATATATGGTCATCTATTGAAACAGATTTCTCTTTTACAGACATCAATTTTAATGTCGTAGACATAATTTGAAAAAATGAAATGAGAAAGTATAAATTGAGAGAGGATAATAAATAAAAGTAAGTTGTGTATATGTACATATCTGCAGAGTATATAGACAAGAATATACATCCAAAACATTTCAATTCAATAATAAAAAATAAAGAACTGATTTTTAGAAATGGACAAAATGTTTGGAAAAGTTATTTTATGCAGGCAGAACTATAAATGAAAACAAGTGCGTGAAACAATATTGTCGATTATGAAGGTGTTGATACCAAAATGCCTGACACTTAAAAGGAAGCACTGAATGTTGGTGAGGATGGTACAGCACTGCAACTCCCGTGCATTGTGGGGAGGAATGTGAAATGATACCCATTGCATCAGAGGACAACTTGGCAGTTTCCTGAAAAGTTGGCCATGCATTTACCATGTGACTCGATTCCGCTGTTAGTTGTCAATGGAGAATAATACCCCAATTTTATCTAAATCTCTATTAATAGAAGAATACATCAACCAAATATAGTGTGCCTGGTACAGTAAAATGCTTACCAGACACTCTGTGAGTCCATTTGAATGAAACTCCAGAAAAGATCAATATGAAGCCAGGGTGAAGAGGTTTACTGGAAAGAGGCTGAGGAAATATTTGGGGTTGATAGAAATGCTCTTGATCTTTATGATAATGATTACAGACTTATGAATTTGTCATTTTTACTGAACATTTAAAACAGACATTTTATAAGGCTGTACCACCCTAAACATGCCCAATCTCAACTAAAAAAAGACATTTTTTATTGTGTATAAATTACATCTGGTGAAGAAAAGCCGCAGTATTCTTCTTACACTTGATTCCCAAAGGTAGATAAGATAATGACCACCCAAACTTAACTTCAAAACTGTCTTTTTGAAACTAAGTAATTACTTAGTAACATCAAAATATAAAAATGTTGATCTTCCGTGTGCTTGTGTAGAAAATGATTGTCTATGAGATTTAAGATGGATTGAATAACACAACATACTGTTTCAAAGATGGTATCAATTAAGTGTGGAAAGATTAACAATTACATTCAAGGTAATGATGCTAAATGATACTTAAAAACTATATCCTGAAGACATATTATGTGTATTTTTTGAAAAATAGAATCATATATTAATTTGAATTCAAATTTTCTTATTGGATAACATATACTGACAAGGGCTGATCATAGGTAATGTGGTTTAGGGTGTTTTCCCTATTTTTTTTTTAGTCTTATTTTCTTATAGGAATTAATATCAACAGATCTTTTCCCTTTGCCCCTTCATTTCTTGAACCACACTGTTCTTTATATCATCCCCCCACAAAAGTGAATTAGTATACCATTTTTTTCTGTAAATTGTCCTTTTAAAAACAAACAAAAACAACAACAAAACCCATTTATTTCCCCTCCTCACCAAAGTCTTAGTAATTTAGCAAAATCAGTAATCATTCCTCCAGTAATCATCCAAGTTAGGCTTTACTGCAAAATGCAAACTATTTTCAAACAGTTTGGGGGATGTAATGGTGGGATTCCATTGATATGGAAATGATTAAATTCAATGGGTACAGGAAACAATGTGTTTGCTTCCATTTCTAAGGCATCTAAGGTATAAAATGCTGCAGGATTCAGTATATTTGTTATGGTTCTCCAGGAGTGTTAATTCTTCATGGTTGCTCTTTTACTTTTAATCCCTTCTCTTTCCTTGATGAGGTCTGTCTGTAAAGTTATTTCTGTGGCCAAGCTAATCTCTTCTCCCTCTCAGCACTACATGGGTTGTACTGTGTTTTGTCTCTAAATGTGCAACTCTGCTTGGTCACTTTTTTTAGGTGGAGAGTCATGACCACATTAGTCTCTGTTAACCTTTCCACAGATTCATTATTGGGCGAGAAAAACCAGGCCAAGTGAGTGAAGTTGCCCAGTTGATAAGCCAGACCCTGGAACAAGAGAGACGCCAGAGAGAGCTGCTGGAACAACACTATGCCCAGTATGATGCTGACGACGATGAGGTAGGGGCTGTTAATGTTCTGCTGACACCCACTTCTCCCATGTTGCACACAGGTGCAGCTCTCATGCTACTGTGTAGTGGGTTCTTTCCAGATTTCTTTAAGGAAGCTATTGTCTACAGTGAGCTAAAAGTTAATCTTTTGGAGAAGAAATGTCACTTGCTTCTGGTACTCACTCATGAACCAATTCATGGAGTCTCTTAATATTGTTTTTGAAGACCTTGGAAACAAATCATTCTTACTTTTTACCACACTATTAAAAAATTCATAGAAATAAAAGAGCAAAGAATAGTCCACCAAAGTATCAATACTGCGTGTTTGTATTGTTGGAATCAGGTGCTCTTCTCTCTGCTTTAGATTTTTGTCAGTCGTTTCCAAATGTTCTACAATGACATCTAATGCTTTTAAAAATATCAGTAAACATTTAAATGAAAACACACAGACACACACATAGACAGACAAACGGGCGGGGGGGCAGAGAGAGAACACAAGCTGAAGTTGGCTGAGCTGGCTGAGCTGGCTGAGGGTTTCCAGAGGTTTTCTCTCCCCCCAGGAGAGAAAGTTCTTTGGATGTGCTCACTGAGATTTGTGCTAACATGATGCAGAGCAAAGCTTTTCCACTAGCACATGTTCCATGGCATAGATACATATTGGAATAATTTTACATCCTGCTCTCTGTAGAAGATCAAGTAAATGAGTAGAAGCTAAGCCCCAAGTGGAAACGGCTCTCCGGAACCCTCTGTGTTGTAATGTAACACAGATGCAGATCTAGTTCTAATGTCAATGCCAAATGTACACTGATGAACTGGGACAACATGCTTTATTATAGACACACTCAAATGCACATATGTTTCATATTGGAATGCAAAAGATTCATCAACAATTTAGTTGTATTTCATACCTCATAAACTCGTAAATATTCAGATAAAATAAATGTTCTTGATGTCAGCCAATGTAAGCATAGTGAAATTTCATATCTTCAGGTTCTGCTCATCAGAATATATTATTTATTCCAATTTAAAAAATTTTTTATCCAGGACATAGAAAAAGATTAATAAATGGACATTCAAATATTTTACATATATATTTAATCTAGGATGGTTTAACACAAACATATATTGTTTCCATATGTTTGTAGTACAATGAGAATGCATTCTCCATTTATTATAGTAAAAAACTGCAAATGGCATGTAAGTTAATTTTTTTGTTTTGTTTGTTTCTTGAGGCACGGTCTCGCTCTATAGCCCAAGCTCACCTAGAATTCACTATGTAGCCCAAGCTACTCTTGAACTCAGTCCTTCTCCTTTAGTCTCCAACTGCTGGAATTACAGGTGTGGGCCACCATACTTGGCTTCAATTAATTTTTAATTAAAGAAGAATATATTAGAAAGCTTTCTGTGAATGAAGTAGTCTCTTGGAATTCTGTTTATCACTTGTGGAGTACATCTGAAATGTCAGCATTTTCTAATTACACTGAAATACTACATCTAAAAATATGTTATTTTGAATTTTTAACTAAGCACATGATCTCCTCAAGCTTTTGGCCTAGTTTTTATTCCTCTACTCTAGAATTTTGTGTTCAATTAGAAGCATCAGTTTGCTTTGGCTATAAGCCTACAGTAGATTCTAGAACTGTTCCCTTACAGGCTTAGACTTTTATCTCTTCACTCTGATAGACGTTGTATCTGAGGATCAGGGGAGTACAGAGACATCAAGTAGGGGGAAAGGAGGAGGCCCAGCTAAATCTGTATGTCACCAAGTCCTCAGCCTAGAGCCCAGAGATCAAGCCTAGATCTCAAGCACTTCTCTCTGCTGTTCCATACACAGGAAACCAAACATCTGGTTCAGAATTAGGTGTGGTAGCAGGCAGAAAATCCCAGCACTAGGGAGGCAAAGGTAGGTGGTAAGATCTTGAGTTCAAGGTCAACCTGAGCTACCAAAGCAAGACCTTTGTTTTGTTTATTCAGTTAAAACCAACATGTTTTGTAAGGGTGCAGGCAATAAGATAATCCAGTCATGTCAAATACTTCCAGGTATTTCGAGGAATTGCTCACATTTATTCCCCCAAATTTCAACATGAGCAGCTAGAGTCTCAGGGTCTTCCTTTCTCTCTCTCTCTCCCTCCCTCCCTCTTCCCTCTCTCTTCCTCCCTCGTTCCCTCTCTCCCTCCCTTTTTCCCTCCCTCCATTTCTCCCTGCCCCCTCCTTCTCTGTCTCTCTCCATCTCTATGTATAAGAGAGAAAGAAAGGAGGAAGAGAGAGAGAGAGGGAGAGAGGAGGAATAGCCCTATGAAACACAGGCTAGAAGTTAATGAAATAAAGATGATTTGCCTCTAATTTCATAGTTTGAATAACTAGTTTTTTGCTGAATGTTTATACTGAGGAACATGCCATCTCATATACCAAGTAGAAGAGTGTGGGTTTTATTTGCTTGCCTGTTTTTGGAAATCAAGTAGAGTGCACTGTCTCCTGAGCAGATATTTTGGGGGGTAAGAGGAGTAAGTAAAAGTCAGGCTCAGTAATTTTGTAATGAGTTATTCCTGTGTGATTTCATTTAACTTCTAAAGCAATTGGAAGAGATTTTTTTCCCCTACAAATCCAGTAGCCATTTTTGTAGCTGTTCAGCTAGTAGTTAACAGAGTTCAGATGGGTGGTCTTCCTGACCCCAAAGCTTCAGCTCACAATGCCTTGTGCTGTTTTTTGAATGGAGTACACACAACACCCTGGATGACTGTCCCTATTCACACACACACACACACACACACACACACACACACACACAAACAACTGGGCAATAAAACATGTTGAGAGGATTACTGTTCTGAGTGATGGGATTTCATAGAGTACTTAGGTTCTGTGAGCCTTTGTTCTGTGTTTTCTAGAAATAGGCAAATTGAATGCTTGAAGACTTATACTAAGTATCATCATACAATAAAAAGAGTAGAGTAATTGAGTACAGGAATGTTTTACAAAAAAGTTAAGTTACTATAGATGTTCTCTTCTTTTCTCAAGCTGTAACAATAGAAATCAGATGCTTGCTACTGAGGTACTCAAGTCACTTGCACTTTATTGAAATCAAAGACTCTTCCTTTGGGTTTCTCTCCCATCCTCCTTTCTGAGTTGTGTTTTCTCCCTTTCTTGTGTGTTCCACAGTGCCTTCCCACAGGCACAGGCAAAACCAACCATTAATTTTCTGTGCACAGGAGAGATGAAAGCTGAACAAATAATGAAAATTCACTCTAATGTTATAACTTCCAATGTTGTCACTTATTTCAGAATTTTTAATTAATACTACCAAATATTAAGTTGATGGGTTGGAGTGTTATCTCTGTATTTTCTGTTTACTCTCATTCTCTGTTAATGAAAAGTAAAATGTCCAAGAGGCAAAGGAAATGAGAAGGACCAAAGTGGATATCCAATGGTTAGATGGTCCTTGATAATTGATTAAATTTCATATATAATTGAGCAGTTTATTGATTTGCATATCTTTGTTAGAACAGGCCCTGAACATGTGTAATCAGTACTTGACTTTTCGTTTCTCTTATAATTTACAGAATCATCTTGTGATTTCAAATTTAAAACCATTTTATTTGCTAACATCTCCTGTGACCTTCCCTGGATACAGCCAGGGAAACTTCTGATTACACACAGAGCAACCAAGTTCAACTAGCAGGCTTCTAAAGCCAGCACTTAGCTTACAGAAGAGTACAGCACTTCTGTTTTTGATTAAATTATCCAAAGTTGATTTTAACTTGGAACTCATCACATTGACAAGTTGTTTGAATTGGCTATGGAGAAAACATCTTGGTGTGAGAAATATTTCCTGCAGTTGTGAAAGCACATTGGTCCTCTGTGAAGGAGTAGATAAGGAAAAAGTTTAATAGCATCTTACCATGTATTTCATACATTCATCAGCTTTAATGCGTCAGGAAATTCTGAGTTGTGCTCTAGTAGAATTTGAAGTGTATAGGTAGTTCTCACTGTTTAAATTTCTGCTTCTTCTGTTTTACTCCAAATAATTAAGCTAGAAGAGTTTGAAATAAGCAAACAGTCCGTTCTATTTGAATTTGCGTTTCTGCTTCCATTCACTCCTGGTTAGCCATTCTAATTTGAAAAACATAAGTACAACTGGCTATCTCTGAAGGCTGAAGAGAAAGGGGGCGGGGGTCCTATAAAGAATGGGGAGATGGAAATCCCAGTGTTGAAAATTTTACAACCGCCTGTATCTGTGATAAGTGATTGTATTTCTGGATTTAATAGAATTACTGTTCATTTGATTTTCTTTCTTTTCTTTTAACAATCTGAAAGGTAACCATGGAGGATTTCTTTAAACCCCCCAGACAGTCAGCAATATGCCATGAACCTCTAGGGGTATGGTAATTTTTTCAACTGGAATTTGTTAATAACATTTAATCTCCCATTATAATCTGTAACTGTCAGTGTTTATCCTGTTAGTGGTAAGATGGTATAATTTTGATCTTATTTTATGCAGTCTGTTTGTATTTTATGAGTGTCTTCTTTCAAAGAACATTATGCAGTTTGAACTGTGGGGCTCAGACTGTAAGCAGCATGAACTGGGGCTGCACCTCTTTGAATAAGAAAATAGATAAGGTCATTGATGTTTAAATGAGTAATTTTACATGTATGTTTAACATTATATGATCATTTGGCTTCCTTAAAGACTCTTTGATAATGTGATATTTATTACATTGTAAAGTCTTTCAGTCCTTCTTTAGGTAGCAGTTCATAACATGATTAATCATTATTCCAAAAACTAAAGTCTCCTCTGTTAAGATATAATTTAATTCTTTCTTTTGTCATTTGTTTTTATTGCTGGAATTTTATTTCATAATAATATTACACTAAGTCTCAGAATCTTTTAAAGTATTGGATGCAATTTAAAGTAGCTACCTCCATGAATATATATTTTAATGATTCTGTTAACAGGTAGCAGTTGAAAGCAAAAGTGTAGTGGACACTGTGGTTGCATAAGTATTAAAAGGTTACACAAAAATTAATTTTTTGTGTGAAAACCATCAAAGCATCAAAGGGCTAACATTAAATTTGACTCAAGCTGTTTGCTGTTCCTGGTTGGAAACAGCTTGTGCTGTGTGGACAAGCAATGGCAGTGATTATGGATAGCCTTTTAATAATGTGAATATAACAATGCAAACAGACATACTGCATCTGTGATCTGCAGAAACAGTGCAGGAAGGCAGCAGTCTCTACTTGGTACTAGTCAGCATATGGTACAGCCAGCCCTAGAACCACAGCATCTTTCTCTCCTGCTCTCTTGGGGATGGGGGAAAGCCTTCTTTAATTGTTTCTGTCAACATTTTAGAACACTGTGGCTGAATTGCAAGGAGTATCTGGCAACTGCAATAACAATAACAACCGTTTCCTTAAGGTTTGTTTTTTGGTAGAAAATTCTGCTTATCTATACCTTCTTGCTCGATGTGTGAACTTGAACATGTCTTATTAATTTCCTATCCTCCAAAAAGCTTTTCTAGAGCTATATGTTTCGTGTGTGAAATAATCTGAAAATAATGTTTGAAAAATACGGCACATATTTTAGGTTATAGGTTCTGTAGTTTGTACTGGCTTCCTAATATTTAACCTTGGGTATGTTTAACCCCTAACCTTTTAAATGTTTTGTGATTCAAATTAAAGGGAAAGTTTTTTTGTTTTGTTTTGTTTTGTTTTTTCCAAAGAAATTCAGCATCAGGGCTGTGTGATGTTTACACAATGTATGCAAGCATGCAGCAAAGACCACTGACCAAGACAACTCCATGGGGACATCAGTTTATTGGAGGGATCAAACCTCTGGATTGCCTCCCAGGATTAGAGAGACAGCAACCAGCAGTGGAAGTCTGGCAGCGTTTATGGGCAGTTAGGTGCTTGGGTTACTTTCCAAGACACAGGCTGGACAGTTTAGCTCAGGATTGGTTGCTTTCCGATAAGTGGAGGGACTTTCCCAGGCTAAGTTCAAACCCACCATTTTAGAATATTGGGAGTTGTGCGGACATTTTAGGACTCTGCCTGGAGTCTAACACACAATACAATGTATATTCTGTTTAAAATCTAGTATTTTTTTTTTTTTAAGAAAAGAATCTCCTACTACTTAGTCTTAATTTTTCACTACTTAATTGGATTATAATATATGGTAGACAATCCAAAATACCTATAAAAGGTAAAATTACTAAAACACTAAAAATAGCATTTTAAAAAGTAAGAACAATAGTGGAGCTTAAAACTGAAATCGAGTGTGTTTCAGACGTCAATGGGCTGATGATGATAAAAGGGACCTGAAGTGTAACACAGAGCTAATATCTTAATAGTGGTTCACAGGCTATAATTTGGATTTTTAGAATCATTAAAATATATCCTTTGATTTTTGATCCTCAGATTTATACTAATGATCATCATCATTGAAACACAGAATCATAAGGTTCTTAGAAAATATTCGTTTGGGGAGCAGAGAGATGGCTCAGTGCTTAAGAGCACTGAGTGCTCTTGCAGAGGACCCGGGTTTGGTTCCCAGTACCCACATGGTGCTAACAACCACCTGTAACTATGGTTCCAGGAGATCTGATACCCTCTTCTGACCTTCACAGGCATTGCTTGACCACGGGTGCACCTACCTACATGCTAGCAATATACTCATACACATAAAATAAAATATTTTTTAAAAGAATACATTTATTTAAAGACTATATCCATGCTTGATCTAGCCTAAGGAAGACAAACACACATGCACACACACACACACTTCACACAGTCATACAAACACATCACATATGCACAAATACAACACTCAGGAGTTACACATCATCCTGTACCTCACTAAGAATCCCAAGAATGTTCTTGGTTTGTAGAGATATTATTATATCTAATACTAATCACAGATAGGGAAACGTTGGTCAAGGATAACAGAATTAGGATAGGAACCTAATTTACCTAAACACGATCATCTTTTTGTACCTCATTTTCTTTGTGAAATTTGTAAAAATAGTAGCTCAAGTGTTTTTAATACATCTTTCTTCGTTCTTTCCAACTGCTGTATTAAAATAATATTCATGAGCTAAATACAGAAACAACAACAACAACAAAACCCTACTTTGTCTAACGATAATATATGGTAGACAGGCTAAAATGCCTATAAGGTCATTAAATTCTTCTGAAAAGTAGACTTTGTCTTTCCTAGCAATCATGTTAGAGTGATTCTGTAGTACACTGAATAAGTGCACAGCTTGTAGTTTTCAAAGAGGCAGCATAGGAACAAGTATAAATGACAATATTTTTCAAACTTTGAAAGCATTTTATTTTATACGCTGATTGAAATTCTTACCAATATATTTCTAAAGTGCTGATTCACAAAAATAGACCTGTCTAGCCTAGGATGCCTCCTTGCTTTCCAGTGGGCCATCCACATGCCCTGGTCTGCTGGTCCTCCTTGGTCTACCCTGACTGGCATTCACTACACCCACTCTCTGCTGTTCTTTCATGTTCAGTCTTGTTTGCCTTTCAGGGCTCTGTTTAGGCTTTATCTCCTCATCAAGCCCTTTGAGGGACCCTCTCAGCTGAGCTGTGTCCTTTGTTTTCAATGATCCAGTAGCACCATTTATATCTCTATATATTTTTACTCATAAGCTTCCTCCATCAGTTTATCATCTATCAGTAGTAGATGTCAGTGACTGGTTGATTTTTACTTCTCACAGACATGACCACAGCCCTGGGCAGATTAGGGAAAGTCAAGAAATTGTGTCAAGAATGTGTAAATTTAATTACACAGAGGAAGTAGAGATAAAAATTGGAGAGTAGTTTAATTTGTATTTCCCTGATGGCTAAGGATATTGAACACTTTTTAAAATATTTCTTAGCCATTGGCATTTCTTCTATCAGCATTTCTTCTATTGAGAACTCAACACTATAGCCCATTTTTATTTGGATTGGTCATTTTCTTGGTGTTTAGATTTCTTTTCGTTCTTTGTATATTTTAGATGCTAACCCTCTTCAGATGTATAGCTGGCACATATTTTCTCCCATTACACAGTTCACAGTTTCCTTTGCGGTACAGCAGATTGTTAACTTCATGAGATCCCTCTTGTTGATTGTTGGCCCTCTTTCCTACATGGTCAGGGTCCTATTCTGGAAATCCTTGCCTGTGCCTCTATCCTGAAGTACACTCCCCATTCTTTCCTCTGATATTTTCAGAGTTTCAGATCAACATTGAAGTCTTTGATCCATTTGGAATTTGTTTTTGTGTAGAGTGAGAGATAAAGATGAAGTTTTGTTCTTCTACACATGGATAGCCACTTTTCACAGCACCATGAGTTGCTCTTTTTTTCAGCTGTAATTTTGGCATCTTGTCAAAAGTCAGGTGACTGTAGGTGCATAGACTTGTATCTAAGTCCTCATTTCCAGTCCATCGATCAATGTGTCTGCCTTTGTACCAGTACTGTGCTGTGTTGTTGCTATGGCTCTGTACTATAACTTGAAATCAAGAGTGGTGATACCTCTGGCCGTGTTTTCATTTCCAGGATTGCTTTGGCTATTCTGGGTCATTTGTGCTTCCATTTGAATTTTTAAGATTGTTTTTTTCGGTTTCTATGAAGAATTGCATTGGAATTTTGATGGAATTATATTGAATCTATAGATTACTTTTGGTAGGGTGACCATTTTCACAATATTCTAATCCATCTCATCTCTTTTCCAATTTCTTTGATATTTTAAAGGTTTTATTGTATAATAGATATTTTACTTCCTTGGTTAGGTTTATCACAAGGTATTATTTTTAGGCTACTATGAATAGGATTGTTTCCCTGATTTCTTTTTCAGTGTGTTTGTCTTTTGGCATATAGGGAGGCTCCTACTGATTTTAGTATGTTAATTGTGTAACTGCCACTTTGCTAAAAGTGTATGTCAGCTCTAAGAGTTTCCTAGTGGAGTCCTTAAGGTCTCTCAAATATAGAATCATATCTGTAAATAGGAATATTTTGACTTCTTATTTGTATACCTTTTATTTCCTTCTCTTGTCTTAATGCTCTAGCTAGGATATCAAAGACTGTATTGAAAAGGAATGGCAAGAGTGGACACAGATGTCTTGTTCCTGATCTTAGTGGGAATGCTTTAATTTTATTCTCCATTTAACATAATGGTGGCTATGGGTTCATCATATATAGCCTTTATTATCTTTTTACAAAAAATATTTTATTATTTTTACTTCATGTGTATGAGTGTATTGCCTGCATGTATGTATGAGCACCTGTGTCATGCAATGCCATGGAGGTCTGAAGAAGGCATCGGATTCCCCTGGAACTGGAGCTAAGGATGGTTTGTAGCTGCCATGTGGGTGCTAGGAATCAAACTCGGTTCCTCTGCAAGAGCAGTCAGTGCCCTTAACTGCTGAGCCATCTCTCCAGCCCACCTTTATTATCTTAAGATATGTTCCTTCCATCGTTAGTTGCTCCAGAGTTTTTTTTATCATGAAAGGATGTTAGATTTTGCCAGAGGACTTTTCTTTATCTAATCCCCAAGGCTCAGGGAACATCACCAGAGAGGGGAAAGAAAGATTGTAAGAGTCAGAAGTTGGGGACAACTGCAGTGAAATAGTGTCTTCTGGACTTGACAGGACTGTTTACCTATGAACTCACAGCAACTGTAGATACCTACACAAGACCTGCACAAGATCAAGTCAGTCAACATTCCAGCAGGACTGAGGTAGAGGTTCAGGAAGTCCCACCCCCAGCTGAGGAGTTATTGGTAATTGATGGCTACTGGGGGAAGGGAGAGTCATTTTTTCAGAGATGCAGCCCCTGGTAGATTCCCCTTGCACTGTGGATGGCCTCACACCCATGTACATATGGGCAGCAGTAATTGTACTCAGTGAGTTATTTTTTTAAAAAGAAGAGGACATACCAAGCATGGTGGTGCACACCTTTAATCCCAGCATGCAGGAGGCAGAGGCAGATGGATTTTTGTGAGTTCAAGGCCAGCCTAGTCTACATAGCAAGTTCCAGGACAGCTGGGGCTACAGGGAGACCCTGTCTCAAAAATACCAAAAAGAAGAAGAAGAGGAAGAGGAGGAGGAGGAGGAGGAGGAGGAGGAGGAAGAGGAAGAAGAGATGTAAGGAGAAAGACATGGGACATGAATGCAGGAAAAGTTCAGCAGAATAGAAGGGAGTGGGTATGATCCAAATAATCACATGGAATGTTCAAAGAATAAACAAATAGTATTATTATTTCAAAGAATGAAAAATCACTAGAAAGTGAGTTAAATAAGAATTAAATTTAGTTGAAAATATGACAGAGGGAAGAACTGTGTAGACTATAAGAGCGAAATGAAGTGAGACGTAGTAAGACTAGCGAGTGGAGGTGGGGAGAAGACTGAAGGAACATCTATTCACC